AAGTAGTGGGCTGAACAATTTCAGAGTTCACAAAGCTTCAGGCAGAGTCTGGGGTTTCGTCAGCCAGAGTGGGCAGAGTCTATAACACAGGAGGCGGTGGGTAGTCTGAAGATGAGCAATGGAGCCTTATTAATGGGGTTCAGTTAGAACCCCAGGAAAGGCAGCCCTGGATCCAAGGCTACAAAAGACACAGGAAAACACCAAATGGATTCCGTTCATCTACAAGTTCCTGACCCGGGAATGGAAGAAAATCTAACATTTTAAAAAGAAATACAACTATATTTAAGGTTCCCAAAATGAAAACCTTACAATGTATGACACTGAAAAAAAAAGATGACTGGGAATTAAAAAAACAAACAAAAAAGGAAACCATGGCTACGGTATTAATTAATAAAGAGCAAAACTAACCATTGTTTAATAGCCCTGGAAATAACTGAGAGGAGGGAATTTGAAGGCAAGACCTCAAGAAAGGTATTAAAAATATAGTAAATGTACGTTAAGAAAACATGATCGTCATAAGGAGAGAAGTGGAGGATATAAAACAGATTCCACATACATTTTTAAAGAACTATTATGTGCATGAAATGAAAAATACTATAGTAAATCTAAACAACAGAAATCAAGTACTAAAAGAACAACAACAAAAAAATCATTGGCCCTTTGGAATAGTATCAAGACCTAACACACAGGAAACAAGTTCTAAAAATGATGGGTGAAAATCTTCCAAACTTGGTGAAAATATAAATCGGTAGCCCTAAGAACCTCAAAAAATTAAGGACAATATAATGAAAACTATAATAAGGTATCCAATATGATACACACGTGCCAAGACACCAGAAGGGACAACTTTGAAAGCATCCAGGGGAAAAAACACATTGGGAACAGAGAAACCAAGATGGGAATGAAAGGAGACTTTTGGTCTGAAATCACACCGGGCAGCAAAGGATGAAGCAACATTTTTAAATTATTAAAACTAAAAGAAAAAACAACTTGCCCAAAATTTGAAACTCACAGAATACAAATGCACAAATTCAGGTAAAACATGCAGACTTTCTCAGACTGATAAAACATGATAAAATGTCTTACCCACAAGCATGAAGATCAATGTAAAAAACACATTTTTGTTGAAAGATGAATATTACCAATATATTACTGTTAGTTTTATAACACACACAGAATTAAAGACTGACAATAGCACAAAGACTAGGAAGAGAGAAAGAAAAACAAACATTATAAGGATCTCAAACTATATACAAAATGGTAAAATTTGAAGATAGGCTGAGATAATTTAAAGAGGTAGGCAGTAAATCCTGTAGCCTCTGCTAACACAAGTAAATAGGTACAGCTAATAAATCAGTACAAAAAGATAGAACCGTAACTCATCATTAATCCTAAATAAGACAAAAGGAAACCAGGAGAGATGAATGACTGGAAAAAAAATAGTATGACAGATGTAAAGTCAACTACATTAACAATTACTATAAGTGTAATCAGTCTAAATGCTAATTAAAAAGCAAAGATTCTAAAGCCCACCAATATGTCACACAAAAGAAAACATCTTTAAAGGCAAAATTACAGATTAATAAAAGCTGGAGAAAAATGTTCTCTAGCATGCAAAACTAAAAAGAAACTCAGGTTACAGGAATTTCATGCAAAGCAATCTTCAAATAAGGAACGTGACTAGGAGTAAGAAAAGTCCTTTCACAATTACAAAAGGGTCAATTCACCATCAGGACATAACAAACTTAGCTGGCAGGAATGTAGAACTGTGGGGACATGTTGGAAATTTCTTATAAACATACATCTAACATACAGCCTAACATCTCATTCCCTTACTGCTAGGAAACTTCTGCAAAGAAACAAAAACTTATACACACAGATTTATATGCAAATGTTTGTACCAGCTTCATTTTTATAGTAGTCAAAAATTAGAAACAACCTAAATGGCTAGCTGGTGAGTGCATAATATGGCCTATTGAACAAAAAGAGACAAACTACTAGTTTACACAGTACAAAGCATTGCAGGTGACTCTGCAAAGAATAATAACAAGTGACAAAAGCCAGGCACAAGACATTGTTACACTTAAAATTGTATTTATTGCAATTCTAGGAAAGGTAAGAATATAGAATTCAAAGCCAAAAACCTCACTGTCATGGTCTGGAGTTAGAGAAAAAAGGAATTAACTACAAAAGGTGCAATAGAACTTTTTCCAGAAATGGAAATGTTATTTATCTTGATTGTGAAGGCGGTTATGTAACTATATACAGTTTTCAAAGCTCAAACCATATATTTTACATGGCTGACTTTTACCTTAAGCAAATTATTATTAGAAGTCATGCATTTCCTTGTATATTAGAAAAGTTGAAAGATCTGCCTACGCTAAAGTGATTTGGAAACCATGGCAAATTGGGGCCAGACAGGCAAAGCCTGAGCAATAGAGAAGCTGAAACTTCTCAGGGTCCTCTCAAAACGTGCCTTGGAGAAAGAAAAAACTCCTCCGGTGGTAAAGTAATTGGCAGGAATTAGTCCTGGAAACTGGGCTGCACCTGGCCCTGTCTTACTCTATTCATATACTTTCATGTCTGTTCTGAAGCAGGGGTGGAGGAAAAAAAAACAACAGAGGAAGGGCATGTTTCTTTTAAACAAGGAACTAGGCAGAACTTCTTAAGAACCCAAAGCTCAAGGGTACCTAGAATTGCCCTAACGAACCAGAAACTATCCAGGTAATTAATTAAAGCTTGAAAGGGTTTTCTGGCCAAGTGCAGCAGTAAATGCGTGTAAATCCTGGCTATTTTGGAGGCTGAGGCAGGAGAGTTGCCAGTTTGAAAACAGCCTGGGTAATTCAGTGATCCTTTACTTCAAAAACAAAATAAAAAGGGTGGAGGATTCCTGGGATCAAAACTCTCAGTGTGGCAAAGGAGGGAGGGAGATGGCAGTTCATACTGGCAGGAAAACTCCGACCCTCAGGTTTGAACCTAGATCCACATGCAGTGGCCGCTTAGGGGGAAATGGGCGCAGCAGAGCAGTTCTCTCCAGGTAGCCCCAAAGGAGGGCCAGGAAAACAAGGGACAAAGACAGCTTCATCCCCTGCAGAACCCAAGGAGACTCAGATACACGCTGGGCAATGAAATCAACCGGGTGGGCTAGCTTAGTGTGTTCTCCTCCAGCAGGAACGAGCACACGCTTTGAAGCAGTGGTAGCAGCTTTACTTCCTTTCTGCCTGTTCTTGGACTGGCATTTTAAATTGCGGTACTCTGGTTTTTGCTTCCAGAATGTTACATACATTAGGTATGGCAGGTGATTCCACAGTTTTTATTTTGCCTGTAGATCGAAGCTATAGCCAACCCTGAACTGGAGAAAATGGACACAACCAACAAATCTTAGCCTTGGAGAGAGACAGGCTTAGCAGCTGGACAGGGCATGTGGAACAGAGATGGACATATGTGTGGTTGTGAAGGAAAAACTGTACTATGCTCAGCCATGCTCTGTTCAACCTCAGTGCATGGATAAGGATGTTTGTACACATTGGATCTAAGAAATGGCTATTTCTGTGGCTATCAAGAACTCCCTTTCTATTCCTTCTTGGGAGAGAGTCTGTCTTCTTACAACCAACTGGTTGATGCAAATAACAGGATTTCACATCCGCAGTCACACAAATCAAAATCCTTTTTAGGATATACTAAATTAAAAGTTATGAAAAAATTAGACCCTTCTTTGGTGCTGTAACTGAACACATGATCTCTAATTCTGCTAATAGCCAAGCATCCAAGCAATTACAAAGAGCCACATCTGAAAAAATAAAGTTAATAGATAAGCTGGTGTGCTGGAGCCCACTTGTAATGCCAACAGTTGGGGAGCAGAAGCAAAAGGAACTCAATGATCCTGAGTTCAAGACCAACCTGGGCTACCTAGTTGGGACTCTGTCTCAAAAACACCAACAAAACAAATGAAAACAAAGCAAATAAAAAAACCGTCATATAAAAGTATCTGCATCTGCAGGAGATGGAATTAAGTAGTCTTCCCCTCCCTAGCATTTGAAGTGCCCAGGAAATATGGCAGAGCTACGTATAAAGAACTGGGAAAGATTAAGGAACCTGCTTAGCACTGTAAGTCAGTTTCCTATGTCAGTTTGAAGGGCACCTGAACTACAATGTTTTTCTTTGGTCTAACTTAATACACTAGCACCTTAAAAAAAGGGCCCTGCCACTGCTGGCAATGTCCCTCTCTCCGCTCCACATTTGAGTCTGTAGGTGGAAAGCAAGACCCCAAAGGGAAGGCCCGCTAATTTCAGCATATATATTAGGTTCTCCTGTTCCACTCAACTATTTCACTTTCTGCAAAGACTTCCGTATTAACGTACTCCATTCCTCTCAGACTTCAAACATCAGGATCTATCAGAAGATAAACATGCCTCAGCCTTCACAGGGCAATCTGGACCCATCAGATGGGATCCCTTCAATTTCCTGGTCCTGATTACACCATGCTCTCCTACACATCACCAGGTTACTTCATCAAAGGCTCATCATTCCACATTGCTTTGGCTATGAATTCCCTCCCCCTCCCTGTGCCTCTGGGTGTTACCTAATTTTTATGCTGCAAATTCATCCTTTCCTTCAACCATCAGAGCTATCAGTCTCATGAAGATAGAGAACTTTTCCATCTTATTCACTGTTATATTTTTGCTGTCGAGGACACAGCAAATAGCATTAGTTGGTGAAGCTGTGGATACATAAATCAGTGAGAGGCTGGGAAATGAAGAATATGTAAGGAGACTTCCCTTACTAGCATTCTACTAAGAGAAGATCAAGGGCCACAGTGGGTCTCCAGCTTATTAGATTTGAAGGCTTGCTAAAACTTTAAGAATGCTTTTCTAAACATATATATTAAATATATATTATATATATAATTTTTCTTCATCCTTGACTTTCAGATAAATTCGCTTCAAACTTCACACCTGCAGATGAAATAAATGAAACAGAGAATGATGAGTGATACTTACTCTTCTTGCCATCCATATCTGCATGAATTTTCCGAGCCAAGAATCCACTTTTGTACACAGTAGCATTTGGGTCATGAGGAATGTCCAAAAAAGGGTTAGTCGTGCTCCCAATGCGGCTGATGGTCTTTGGATGTGTTCCATTAGCCTTCTCATCAGTACCTTCCGATGGAGACTTTTTTTTCTCTTCATCATCCCTGAAAGGAAGAAGACACAAGGACTGAGCCAAGTGTCTAGCACAATATTCACTCAAAGAAGTTATTTAGAACCATAAACTCTTTTGTTTGTAATGGCCCATTAGTCTTCATTACAGCCACCATGATAACAGCTACCATTTACTGAGTATTTCTTATGCACCATATATTAATTATCATGATAGTCTTGTGAGACCAATATTAGTATTCCATACTATAGATAAGGAAAAAGTGGGTTCAACAAATACATTACCCACAACCAAAAAGAAAAGACAAAAAGATAGTAAGAGTATGATCAACAAATCTCTAACACCTCTTCTCTGTCCTAGGATTAATGAGGCTTTCATGCTGTTTCCTTTTGAACACCTTTTTGACAGGGACCAAGGTTAGAAATTTTGTATCTTGGCAGGGCCTCACATAGTGGCTGACACATAGGAAACAACAAAAATTATAGAGATCAACGAATAATTATGGCTGCCAAGTAGCCAGGCTGATTCTTATTATTGAAACCCCAGGTGAAGCTGCCAGTGGAGGAGGAGGAGGAGGACAGGGCCAAGCACGATGCCTTGGCATCTTACACATGCCACTCCTGCATCCACCATAATGATTTGGGCCACCTTAGCCACTAGGAGAAGTGCTATTTGCCTTGCCTGGTTTCCTGAGTCACCGTTCCTTCAATAAAAGGAAATTTAAACTCTGAGCTCCTAGCATACAGAGGAGCTAGAAGATGGATGGTTGTGTATGATTAGTAAAGGGGAAGAAATGGTGGAGGAAAGCTAACAAGCTCTAAAATATGGATGGAAAACAAAACACTATAATAAAAGCATTTGTCTTAGTGCTGCTACTTCAACTTCCAGAGTTTTATTTAAACAGTAAACTCTTAGAGATATGTTTAAATTAAACTCTGATTACAGAATCTTTTATTAAAACTTCAAAATAATAATCAGTAAAACGTATTTTAAATCACAAAATCAATAAATCATCAACAGTGTTTAAACACAGTGGTGGTCATAGAAAAACAGCCTTTCTGCTCCATTGGTATTTTATAAGTAACTATGAGATAAACAAAAGTAAAACTGAACTTTTAAAGACCCAAATTTTGCCTTTATTTTACAATAATTTTAAGCTTAAAAGTACACTGAGTCTCTATATGTCCAACTTCTGTTAACATCTGTGACTGCAATAGATTTTCTAAACTAAAAATGAACAGTAGTAAAACACTACGGATTAATCTGAGATTTTCTTTTATGTACCCGAGCATTTCCAAGTTAATTATTTTTCTATCCTAGGACCAAACCCATGATCTCACAGTGAATTTAACTGTCAGGTCTTCCAATCTACAAGTTACTGAACCTTTCCCTGTCTAACACTGCCTTGACATTTTGAAGAACAGAAGTTAATTCATTTGCAGATTAACTTCCAGTTAGAATTGTGTCATGTTTTCTCACGACTACATGATGGCTACATTTTAGGGGCATAACACAGATGATGTGCCATTTTGGTGCATCAGACCCAAGTGATAATATGTTTTCAGTGATACTAATCATGATTACTTGGTTAAGGTAGCATCTCACATGAGTTTATACAGCAAATGTAATATTTTCTTTGTAAATGTTTGGGGAGCTATTTTATTAACTGCGAAAGCACCTTGTTTCTTCTTCTTTTTTAAAACTCACTAACAGCATTCATAAATGGATCTTTGCTTATAAAATAAAATCACTTATTTTACATTCTTCTGTAAATGTGTAAATATGGATACTTATAACACTTTTTTATTATAACCATTCCCTAGCAACTATGTAGGGAATGCCTCCCATTACTACAATCCTGCCTTTCCTAGAATGGCATAAAAATGGCTACTTTGGTTTTGCATTGAAAGTTCATCCATAGTGTCATGTCAGTCAATAGTTTGTTCTGTATGATTGTGTATCCCTATTTCATTTTATGAATACACCAGTTTATTCACCTACTGGTTTTACATTCTTAAAATAAATAATTATTTGTGCTTGCAAACATCACCTTGACACTATCAAGAAGGAAGATTTCTATACTTCAAATAATTAATTCTACCATTACCAGTAAATTTCATACTGTTATAACACACAGCAAACATCATGTGTAGTGGGTAAAGTTGAAAAATTCTCTTCCAAAATCAGAATCAGCCAAGAGATGCCGGCACTTGCCACTTCTATTCAATATAGGACTGGAAGTCCTAGCTATAACAATTAGAGAAAATGAAATAAAAAAGAATCCAACTAGGAAAAGAAATAAAATTGTGTTTATTTGCTGATGATATCATTTTATATACAGGAAATCCTAAGGACTTCACTGAAAAATATAAACCTAATAAAAATTTGTAAAGTTGCAAGTTACAAAATCAATATATAAAAATTAGTAGTGTTCAGATACAGTAATAAATAACAACCATTCTGCAAAAGAAATAAGGAAAGCAATCACCTTTACAATAGCATCCAAAACACTAATGAGGAGTAAATTTAACCAAGGGGTTAAACAATTTCTACACTGAAAACTATTAAAGAAATTGAAGACAACATAAACAAATGGGAAGTTATCCCATGTTCTGTACTGGACTAATTAGTACTATTAAAATATCCACCCTACCAAAAATGAGTTTATAAATTCAATGCAAACCCTATCAAAACTTCAATAGTATTTAACAGAGAAATAGGAAAACAGTTATAAAACTCCTATCAAACCATAAAAGACCCTGGATAGTCAGAGAAGAAAGAACAACTCCAAATTCACAGATATAAGGGCTTGTTTGGATGGTGAGAGCACTAACTTTATCAACGAGATGAATGGGCTATTACGAGATGGATCTTAGTTGGAGGAAGGGACCATGAAGACATGACTTTGGAGACTAAATCTGAGTGCTGACCCTTTCTCTCAGAGTTTTTCTGCTTCTCTATGATTCACCGATGCCATGTGCTACACAGCTCCCTTCTGCCACACGGTCCCACCATGATGCTCCCACCTGGGAGCCAGCTGACCACGGATGATCTCAAGTCTGCAAAATCATGGGCTAAAATAAATCTCTTCCCAAGTTGTGTCGGGTAATTTGTCCCAGCCATAGGAAAGTTGACCAATATATACACCAATCAGTGGAACAGGACAAAAATCCCACACATAAATCCCAAAATGGAGAAAAGAACAGTCCACTACAAGTGGTGACGGAGGAATTGAAAAATCAACTTGTAAAATAATTAAATTGGATCCTATCTTCCAGTATATACAAAATTCATCGCCAAATGGGTGAAAACTTAAACGTAAGACCTGAAACTAAAGCTACAGCAAGAAAACACAAAGGAAAAACTCAACTTTGGTCTGGGAAATATTTTTTTAATAAATATGCTTGCATAGACAACAAAATAAAAAGTAAACAAATGAAATTCTATCAAACTAAAGAAAACACAGAAAATAGTAAACAGTGAACAAGAGACAGCCCTTGAGACAGAAGAAAATATCTACAAGTGACATATCTAAAAAGGTACTAATATCTGTATCTATCTATCTATATATATACATGAGTCAAATAATTCATTAGCAAGAAAACAATATTTTGATTTAAGATGCATATAGAACAGTTATCAAAAGATACAAATGGCTAACAGACATGTGACAAAAATGTTCAACATCTCTGGCCATTTGAGAAATACAAACTAAAACACTTCTGATATTCCATCTTATTCCTGAAAGAGTAACGACCATCAAGAAATCAAATAACTACAAATGCTGGTGAGGCTGTGGGGAAAAAAGAAGTCTTCTCTATTATTCTTTTCTTTCTTTACTTGCATACCTATTTCAAAATAATTTTTCAAGCTTCATAAAGTAAATCAAGAGGAGAAATAAGTGAATCTTGTGGTCTTGTGTTTTTCATTTTCCATACAGTGCTATTTGATATCGATCATTCATTGATTATATAGAGAATATTATTTCTTATTTAAAGAGAAAATCAGGAGATAGATTAAATAAGAATGAGTGAACTGACATTTGTTTGGCTTATATTCATAAATTTGGCCCTCAATATTTGGGGAATATGGGGTGGGGCTTAATAATTGTCAGTGTAAAAACAGAATGATTATTTTGGAAATCAAGGTAACTGTTTTGAACATCAAGATTCATAAAGAAATTATTAGAGTAGCCACTGTTCCCAAGTTTGTTTTTTAAGGAAGTTAATACATTTTTAGAGAAAATAAACAAAACCTTACTATACCAAAGTGATAAAGCACAATATTGTTTTGAAATACCCAATGTATAATACTTACTATAAAGCATACACATTAGAAAGGTAAGACAGTCTGTACAAACACACCACTTAGAATCATGGATTTTATATAACTCTGGCAGTCAGCCTCAATATTGCTTTTGAATTTTCCATTGTTACACAGTCTTATGGACATTCTGACTCATACAGAGAAGTAGTTGCAAATGATAAATGTCCTGTTTTAAATAACAATATGTTAACTCATAATCTTTAATAATAAAAGGATAAAAAACTTCATGAATTCTAAATCAGAAATCAATGCACTGATGTATAAATGTTTGAAATTCTTAAATGTACTTTGTAAATGTATTTTCAACTGGAAAACAGTTTAAAACACATATTTAAAAATTAATGTAGTATCAAAATGCCACAGAACCCTAAAGTACTAAGAAGAGCCCTAGGATTCCAGTGAACACAAATAGAATTTGAAAAGCCCTGAACTAGAGTCGACATCAGAGACAGGTCCTGCCTAATGCAAACACAATGATCCACTGCTGAAAATCAGATGTTGGGTAAGAAAGTGATACGTGAGGATCTAAAATTAAGAAGGGGAAAAAGACTTATAAGGTATTAAATATGAACCCCAAGTAAATTTCCTACAGAGTAGGTATTATGTTGGCCCCAAAGCAGACATGAGGATCAGTGGCACAGAATGCAGTAATGTCGAACCTTTTAGAGCATTCAGAGCTAACAAATAGAATCTATGGCTATTGCTACT